CATGTTAGGGTCTGTCGTCAGGGCCGAGTTCCAAATCAATCCGTTCATCAGATGATCTTTCTTCTGCCATCTGCAGAAGGAATCAAATGATCGAGTAAATTTCATTTCTTTTGATACTTTTGGGATTTGTCTCATAAACAAATAATGGATGTATTTGCATTTAAAAAAAAAAAATTTATTTCATACCTTAAAGAAATCATAAAAGGATTCTGGTTTTCTTTTCATGGAACCAACGCCTTCTTCAATGCAGACATAGCAAAGCCATTTAGCGGGAGGCTTCTCGAGTTTTACCTTCATGCAGTACCAACAATAAACCGAAATGTGATCCAAACAAAATTCAACAAAATAACTTTTATTACTATCTGCTAATTGTATATATTAAATTTAAAAACATTACTTATGTTGATAACTAAAAAGAAAAACACATTACGTATGTTCTGCGCCAACGTTGCATTCGTCACAGATAGCAAGTGAACCGCCATATCCAGTATCTCCACATGTATCGCATACAATCACCTGCAAACACAACATTTGATACGACATCATATCGATAACATGCATAAGTTAACGATCCGATAACTTAAAATAAAAATAAAATCATTACGTACTTCGATAGACAATTCATTGTTTACGTTCAGATCTGTAGCTTTAACAGAACTATCCTTTTCAATGTCCGAAGAAAAATTTTCCGCCGCAATTCCTTTGCCTTTGAAATCATTTTCACCAGGCTGCGAAAAGGGTCAACAAATTATTATTTTTTCATGAATACTCAAATTAGAGATATTCTGCTACATACTTGATAAACATAAATGGATTAGTTATATTTTTATAACCTTTGACAAAGCAGAGTCTCAGGAGGGTGATGACTCTGCAACATAAGGTTGGTTCAAGTCAAATATGTTTTTAGATTGATTAACCGGTGTGGTCTCTTTTGGTACCACAATCTGACCATCCTCATGAGTGCTTGAAGCCATAATTGCGGTAATGTATTGTTTCAAAGAAAAATCTTGCAGTCTAGACCCCTAAATTAGAAAACAAAAAAAAAATCAGTAAAGCCATTGATGAATCTCTAACACCATTAATAATTAATAACAATTTAAAACCCAATTCATCAAGATGACTAATTGAATTGACAAAATAATGATTTTAGTATGTTTTTTACAACCAGATCCTATATGATTATCGTCTTAAGAACATAAATAGGCTGCAAAATATGATTTTTAAAAACCATTGCTAATTAATCAAAACTTTTGAAAACTATATATAGTAGATCCAAAATATATCATAATACACTATATAAACTTTTTTTTGAACCAAAACTATATAATTAACACTGTAAAAGAGCCTTTAAAGATCTTTCAACGAAAAATAAAAACAAAAACTATAATTTAATAAATGTTTATTTGTTATCTCTTACGAAATGAGACACTTAAAATCAAAGCGTAAGAATACTCACAGAAAAGAATGATTAAACTCAAAAGTGTGGAGTAAAGTGGAAGATGACGAGCTACATTTAAAGGTGAAAGTCAGGGCCCCTACTTCAATTCCTTCCCATATAATGCAACTGTCTTAGCTTCCTTATTTACGACTTTGCAATTTAATTGTCGATCTATTTTTTTCTTAATTTTAGGAAACTTATTTAGTTGTATTTAATTATACTTCTTCTTCTTTTTACTATACCACCTTGATTTTGACTTTTAAATTTTATTTAATATATTTTAAAGTAATGTTACTTCTTAACTTATTATTTATGGCTAGTTCTTTAATATTTGTATATGACATTTTATTTGACTAAAAATAGTCAACAATTTTTGGGAAGAATAATTATAGGGTCAAGTGTTTCATAGCTTAGACATTTGTAATGCTAAAGTTTAAGCAAATCTCCCTTATCCAATATATCCAATATTTTCAATTTAGCTCGCGAGCTTTGATGTGATGATAATGTGTTTTTTTAATCAGGCCAACATCAAGACCTGGAACAGAGTTCAACGAGCAATTGATGATATCCATTCTACAGAGTTCATCACGACCTCTCTTTCAAGAAGCCTGAATCCATTCTACAGGATCGATCTGAGCTTTCCAGTTATCAAAAACTATTAATATTCGAGAATTGTAAATATGTGTAATATTGTCCAAACCAATTTAGTATAGTCCAATAGTTTTGGTTCGTGGTTGAGTAGTCTGAAACATCGCAGGAGATTCGATATCCAATTTATCCCAAATATAAAGACGTAACCCAATTTAGTTTACTTGAAAACAACGTTTGAGACAGCTAAAATATCCTTCTGCATGCTTCATGGAGTGAAAAGTCGAAGAGAAATTCCTTAAAAATTAATTATAATATTTCATAAACTAATTATTAACCCTATTTTGAATTAATTAAATCGTAAGATAAGCAACTAAATTGCCATCATTTAACTCATTTATAAAATGCTTTTACAAGATATAGTTCATATAACTTTTTTTTTGGATCAAAATAGTTCATATAACTAAAAAACACTTTTTTCAAAAAAACAAAACACAGTTGAACTGAGTCAAATTAACAGGCTAACAGCCTCCAAACTCCAACATTTTTGTGGAAAATGCTCTCCGGATTTTAAGCTACAGGTAACAGGCGACAATTTAGAAAGCAGACATATCAGTGTTCAATCTCAATGTAGGAGATGCTGATGTGAAGAGGAAACATCACAGCACATCTCTATTCTTTGATTGTGAGTGTACGCTAATCAGTATGGAGACGCTTTAATATTTCTCATCAAGTGCTTTATGACCCTTCAGCGACTCTGGAGCAAAAATTAGAGGTATGTCGTCTCACTTGTCATTTATCTCCAGGACTAGCCCATTTTAAACATCTTTTGCTATACATGTGGATTCTGTGGAGGCTTTGGTAGAGTAGGAATCTTCTTGTGTTTCAAAAAAAACGGTTTTGTTGGCAAAAACTTCTGCAATTCGCGAAGAATGATTCAAAGGAATGGCATGATTTAGAAGTGTAACTTTAATGGAACTTTCACAACTCAAGCTGGTTGGAAGCGATGGTTTATATAGTGGCTCAGGACATGGCTAAAGGTATGATTCTCTCCAATGCCCAGGAAAGTGAAGATCAAGCTCTCATCATGGCAAATTGGCAATACGACACTGTTGGAGTTATTAGAAAGATAATATCTGAGGGATATATATATAGCAAGAAAGTCAAAGATCAGACTAATGGAAGAGCTCTCAACTTTGGTGCATATACAGTTGGATCCAAGAGCTTAATTCACACATGGAGTAAGCGTTTTGATAAAGTTAAATTCGAATGGATTGGAAAATCTCACAATATGGCTCATGCTGATACTTCAGCCAAACACAAGATTCCAAATGATGCGCTTTCTTGTAGTTATTTTTATGTTCCTCCTGTTTCTAGTAAGAACTTACTATATAAAATAAACGTTTCTTGCCATCTTGCCACTTTTTAGAAATCATTTAGATGTTTCTGTCACTTTATACGTGGATTAACGTAATGGTGCTAGTTGTCCCATCACAACTATCATATAGGAAACTGCACAAAATCGCATCCCTCTTTGAAGCTACAATCCATAATATATGCATGGAGCGAAATGAATTGTTAAAGACATGGTGAAACTCTATCAACTCCTATGAGGCTTATAAAGCTTATTAACAAGACAATAAGGAATCAACTCAACTCTATCCAGACTTTGTATTCATCGTATTGTATTCAAATTCTTATTAATCAAACCCATCCCCAGTTCCTTAAAAGCAAAAAGCAACGACACTTAGGATAGCAATTAAAGAAGTTAAGAAAGCTTGGCTATGGTAATGTTGCTTTCAATGGAGAAAGCAAAATCATATATAAGACACTCGAAGACAATGCAACAAAATGCAAGGCGAGATATGGTGCAGCCTACGTTAAAGACATCTTTAGTATTGTCGCTCTTAGAGATTTTAGCTTTGTGTTCAAAGAGAAGCTAAATAATTCAGACAGATCAGTTAGCAAGAAAACATGTCCAACTATGTTGTATCGTTCCTTTCATAGTATATTTGTAAGAACTTTGGATGCTATCTTCTAGAAGAGTTCACTAAATCTTTTTTTAGTTTTATTAAATTGATTATGTCAAGTTAAGTCAATAACAACATTAATTATCATAACTGATTTGAACACACACAAAAAAAAAACAAAAAACTGATGTGAAACAATATATTCTGTATCATTTACTTAAAATTAATTTAAAATAAACTCATTTAATTTTGTGTTACTATATAATTGATGCAATGCGATCTTTTGTAGTCAAATGATAAGTTGAGTCAAAGAAAAAGACTATATAATGTAAGGCAACATTTTAAAGGAGTCCACATCATCAACAGAAAAATAAATACACTGAAGTCAAAATTTAATGTTAGAATTAATTAACTCGTATATACTGTAGTTTTACATTTATGGTCTTTCACATAGAAAAAAAAAACTAAATTGATAAAAAAAAAAATACACAAAGAAAGTAAACACTTAGAAAACAAAAGAAAAATAACATTAATTTAGAAATTAGCTGAGGCCCATTAATTTGGAATATAGCCTATTATATAAAACTACGGCCCATTATAGTTAATGCACTAAAAAAAAGAAAACTTATGGTAACGTGTAGACATGTAAAAGCTAATTAATACGGCTAAGTACATCCAAATCAAATCAGATCAAATGAACGAAGGTAGTCAAGTCCAAGTGGAACTTTGTCAATTTTAAGTGGTCTCTATTAAAAGTACTCCTCTTAACCGTTGGATCAACTCCGTCTCCATCATCCGACGGTCAAAATCTCTCCATTTTATTTATTACATATTACTTTGAAAAAACTAAAAAAATAGAAAAATAAATACTGAGAAAAACGCACGGTCACCGATTTTCCATCTCTCTCCCTCTCTCTCTTTCACTAAATGAAGAACAGAGTCTCTCCGGCGAGATTACCGGCTTATTCCGATAACTTCGCCTGAGAGCTATCGCAGTGGAATTAATGGGTCTTCCTTTGTTGTCTTGTAGTACGACAAGAGTCGCTTTCTCTTCTTCACCAACATCATCTTCATCTTCGTCTTGGTGTAGCGGAAGCGGTGGGTTTAGGAGTAGTAATTATAGTTCTAGGCTTTTCGATTCTCCGGCGAGCTCGAGATCCGAGTCGCAGAAACGCAGCGATAAGAGAAATTCGCGGCTAAGCGGTCTTTCACTAGAGAAATCGAGGTCTATCAAAGCGTCGTCATCCGCAGGACAGAGCAGCGGCGAAGTGATCGACGACGGAGATACAACGGCGCGAGGTTTAGCGGTGTCTTCGGGAGATGTAACTTCGGTGGGAAGCTTCAGTAGCGGCGAGTTTGTCGGTGGAAGCGGCGGTTTAGCTGGACCTTCAGGGGAGGTAACATCCGTCGGCGAGTTCGTCGGTGGCAGCGGCGGAGATTTTAGTTCTTGGGATAAGATCGGTGCTGTTGTTAGGCTGAGTTATGGAATCGGTGAGTCCACTCGGTGACGATGGAAGCATTTTTTTTTCAAAATTTCGTTTTGAAGTGAATTCAAAAATTGACTCTTTGTGTGTTTTTGTGATAAGTCAGGAATATACTGTGGAATGGCTGTAGCGGGAAGGTTTATATGTGAAGTTGCAGGAATCGATTACACAGGAGGCTTTAATGCTTCTTTAGATGCGATTATTGCTGGACTTGGTTATGCTTCTCCACCAATCATGGCTCTTCTCTTCATTCTTGATGTAAGCAGAGAATCATCTATCTTCGTAATTGTAATGAAGGTTTTAGTGATTTTTGAATGATTCTTTGTTCTGTTTTAGGATGAAGTTGTGAAACTGTCACCACACGCTCGTGCCATTAGAGATGTTGAAGATGAGGAGCTTCGAGGCTTCTTCTTTGGAATGTCAGCTTGGCAGGTGAAGATTCTGTTAAATCTTTTGTAACTTTCAAGATTTTAGTTTTTTATTTATTTAGAGGAATCATTCATTGAGCCTTTTGTCTTTTTTGCATTTCTTTAGTTTATCTTAGTTGTTGCTGCGAGTTCAGTTGGAGAAGAGCTCTTCTATCGCGCTGCGTTTCAGGTTCTTGTGACTTATAAATTTATAATATAGTCTTGTTCTTGTTTCTTTTGTTTTCTCTGTGAAGCTTTATCGGTTTCGATATTGTGTTTTACAGGGTGCACTAGCAGATATATTCCTCAGAGGCACAAATCTCATCTCTGATTCTCGAGGAATGGTTGCTTTGGTATGCTTTCTCTTCTTACTCATCTCCTTGCTGTTTCTTACACTCGTATAAATATCGAATTGATTTCAAACTGTTTCGAATTTTTCAGACAGGGATCTTGCCTCCATTTGTACCGTTTGCTCAGGCATTTGCAGCTACTATTACAGCCGCTCTCACCGGTTCTCTCTATTACATTGCTGCTTCTCCTAAAGGTTCTCTTCACTACTCTTAAAACCGTAATCTATATGACAAAAACCTTTTAAGCTCTTTAACTAATCTTGTTTTGTTGTTGTCTCTTAGATCCGACTTATATAATGGCACCAGTCTTGAAAACTCACTCTGCACGTGAGGAGCTGAAGAAGTTGTTTGCAGGTTCTTAACACTCTTCCTTAAAGCATAAGGCTTTAGATATGTTTCTACAATCAAAACACTTTAAAAGGATTCCTTTTGCAGCGTGGTACGAGCGAAGACAAATGAAGAAAATCTACTCTCCTCTTCTCGAAGGGCTTTTGGGTCTATACCTCGGCTTTGAATGGATTCAGGTTTTGATTCTTCTCTTTTTTTCTTAAGTTTCTTTTTTTTACTTGTGGTCGAAGTAAAAATCTTTGAAACGAAATTGGAAAAAATTGCAGACAAACAATCTTCTAGCTCCTATCATCACACATGGCATATACTCAGCCGTTGTATTGGGAAATGGTCTCTGGAAGCTTCACCATCACCAGCAAAGACTTCGCTTACGTGTCCGGAAGCTAGAAACTGAAGGTGACGACAGCTCAAGATAAAGAATTAAAGATAAAACCACTGAATAAAAACATTACTACCCTTTTGTTTTAAATTTTTGTAAATTGTCTTTGTATTGAGCCACCATTGACTTGTACAAATACAGATAGAAAGCAAAGCAAAGTGTATAGAACCATTAGTTAATAAGAGAGTAGTAGCTATGTGAAGCTTTTTATTTTTGTCTATCTTCTATCTGATTTTTAGTCTTGTTCAAGTTGAGAGATGATCCTGACGAAGACATCAAAGCCTTGGCACATGTCTGTAAGAAGGCAGTACTCGTTCTTTGCATGATATGTAGCCATGAGACCTGCAGAATCAAAGAAAGAGGAAGATTTAAGTACCGAAAACGGAGAAATCAGAAACAGAGTGAATCCGACGAGGGTTTTTGTAATACCGTATCCTGAAGTTTGCACATCGAAACCTTCATCCTACAAAACACAAGACCAAGATTCATGGATTTTAGAGGAGAGTAAGTTTAATACAGAGGACAGTGAAAGATCAAATCTTGAATCTAGTGAGATTAAGGAGTTATCTAATGGCTTTACCTGGAGATCACGGATTAGAGGCAAAGTACCGGTGATCGAGTAAGGCTTCACGTGTCCGACAACTTCTTCGGTTGCTTTGCATAGAACGTGAAAGCCGCGGGAATCAAGATTGCACGCAACTCCAGCTGATGCTTCATCAAAGCTTATCGTGAGCCTGCACAAGAGACAATTGAGACTTTTAAAATTGCAATATAATGAAAGAAGGAATGAAATCAGATAATGAGGAAAAAACCAAACCTTCCCCGTAAATTCTCATCTGGTAAGACGTATTTCGAGACAGGACCACGAGTCGCAAGCTTCTCTATGTTACTGTTTATGTCGTCTACGTACTCTTGCAGCTTCGTCATCACTTCATTAATGCTGCAAAACAAGGATAACCCATTAAAGTGTGTCTAAAATGCATAGAAAGGACTTAATACCAAGTGAGAAGAGATACTTACTCATAGAAAGGAGTTAACCTGAAACCAAAAGAACAGCGAAGAAGTTAAGAACACAATGAGAGACATCTCCGGTTTTACGGTATTTACAACTTTATAAACATTAACCTGACATCACCGGAAACAGTACACTCTCCAGGGATTTGGTTGATTCCGCCTCCTGGATCTGCAAAAACCAGACAAATCCTTTGGAGTAAGTAGACAACATATGGATTCATCACTCATATACATACATTATGCTCTAAAATCCAAAACTTACAACTCCATTGCGTTGGCTTCATGGTGGATGGTGTAGCAAAGCCGTAAACTTTCTCTTGTGGGTGAGGCGGATAGTCTCTGTAGAACCGGTCTTGGATTTCCTTAAGCCCTTCCATTCCTAACTCCATGGCGTTAATCGCCTGCGCTTGAACAGAAGAAGAAAGATCAATGCCAAAGTTTGCAGCTTTATCAACTCGAGCAAATCTCATTCACATATACAAAACCAAAACCATACCTTGTGAGCTAAACCGCTGTGGAAAAGCTTTCCGGTAAAATGAAGCTTCCACGGAATCGAACCGCCGGTTCCAATACACGGCTGCTTATCCGCTGTGTCAATCCAAAACCTTCAAAACAATATAGCATAACAAAGCTTTTCAGTCATTCTCCAATGTTATGTCTAAAAACCTCAACAATAAAAAGAAATGAAACTCACAAAGGTCCGAATTTGAGCTTATCAAGAAGTTTGTCTTTAACCAGCATGTCGACACCAACACCTGGAATTGAAGAGTTCTCTTCGCTGGCGATGAAAACTGCTACAACAGATGATTTCAACGCCGGTTTGGTCTCCCCGAGCCTCTTCATGAGCTCAGTCACAAGAGCAACGTGGCCAAGACAATCTGTAGTGCCACGACCTCGAAGCTTATCGCCATCTATGGTTAGGGAGAAAGGATCAAATTCCTGTGAACAAACAACCGATCAATCAAACGGAGTATCAATAGTGTAATTCTTCACAATTCCAAATCAATTGAGCAGTAGAATCCAATAACCATAAAATAGAAATTGATGTTGCTGTTACTTCACAGTGATTAAGAGTTAAAAGGAGGGAAGGATTGAAAATTTGGAACATTTGACGTCATTTCTTCACAAAATGGAATTAGTAAAACCCTGTAACTCCATAATCATAGTGTAACTCTTCACATATTCGAATCAGTATTAAAACTCAAAATTCGAATTTTTTTTTTATCAATATGGCTGAAACTTCACAGTGCTTGAATTCCAGAAACCGATTAAACCCTAGAGTACACAAAAGGAAGAGAAAGATTTGAAATTTGGAACAATTCGCATCAGTTCTTTGAAAAGTAACCAGAACCCAATATCGGATTTCTCCCTGAATCTAATGGGCACGGATCAAAACCACGAAATCAGAATCAATTATAAAACTTTACCCAGTCATCGGGATTCGCGGTAACGACGTCCATATGCATTCCGACGAAAGACAAGACCTTTCCGGGAACAGATCCTGGGTACTCGACGATGAGGTTACCTCTTCCTGAGTGATACGCCACATGATTGATCACGAGAGGACCACCACCAGTTTCGGTGCTGTAAGGACGGAGAGAATCGAGGACGTGGTTCACGATTCGATCTTCTTGCGGGATGAGCTCCGGCGGATTGTTCTGGACGAACTTCGATTCGCCGATGAGTTTCGATAGGAGTGAAACGAACGAGTCTTTGTTTAGAGAGCCTAAGGATTCGATCATTGCTTTAGAAGCCATAGTTGCAGAAACACCAGAGACGTTTTTTATTTCTTTTTGATTGCGAAAACAAATAAAAGCTTCGGTTTTGCTTGTTCGTGTTGTAAAAGGTTTAACCTTTTGGGTGGAGTGTTACCGTATAATTACTTAACTAAATTTTTTTTTTTTTTTTTGGTTGTTGTTAAAGGGCCTTCAAGTTAACTAGTAAAATTTAACACGGAAGTAAATAAATTAATCAGCACGTTTAGCTAAAACGAATACTTCAACGTCGGTATCACAAGCTTACTAGTAATAATTTCCTCAAAGCCCTATAACACCTTTGAGGAAATTCAAAGATCCATTTTGTGAAGATATAAGTGGAAATTTTTTTGGACTATTTGCATTTTACATGATAGAGAAACTTTGCACCTAAGCTGATGTCTCTACTTCTATTTACAAATATATTGTTTAATATTAGCCAATAATAAGAGCTAATGTAAAATACAAAATTGCTACAAAATTAATATTAAATAGATGTAGATTTTACATAGAAACTTGGAAACACAAAACAAAAAATTCTTAAAGGTATCTTATGGAAAGAAACAAAGAGTGTAATGTTTTCACATATAGTTTTTATATATCAATTCAAACTGTAAATGGATCATAATTCACCTTTTGTCAAAAACTGCAAACAAAAGTTGTTTCTATTTATGAAAACAAAGGTGAAAAAGACAATGGCTGATTGATATGGGGATTCGAACCTTTGCTGAGCAGAAGAAGACAGCGTAATGAAAGAACCCTATCTCACTGATTCAATGGACTGTTCCTCTCACACTTCCCAAATTCCTAAATTCCTATTTAATTTATTTGGTCTTAGCATCAAACATCTGTAATTTATTTGCATACCAACAAATTCATATCTCAGTTTTGCTTTTTACACGAATCTTGGTCGGTATATTTCTGCCCTCTTCTATTTGACTTGCTTCATCTTCAAAGTAAGAAAACAATTAAATTTTACATTTTCTTTCTTTACAATCCTAATAAGTGCTTATGGATATGAACCCAGGTAACCTTATAGTAAAGGTTTTAAAATGATCAGTACTGTATCTCAAAGTGATGTTAATTCAACCAGCCGGTTAGAAAAATGTATATATCATTTTGGGTAAATATTACAAGTTACAACTGAATTCAACCGGTTAGAAAATTGTATATATCATTTTGAGTAAATATTACAAGTTACATACAATTGAATTCAACTGGTAAAAAATGTATATATCATTTTGGGTAAATATTACAAGTTACAACTGAATTACAAATTCATTTATACATATATTTAGCGATATGGGTATTGTTAATCAGGAAGTTTTAGGCCTAATTAAACTTGTAGTACTCCAATCCTAAAAACACCATTTGATAATACTTTTACTGAACGTAAATCCTCCATCTCAAAAGATCTCGAACTAGAGGGATGGGTTTCTACACTGACTTGTGTTTGTGATACATATATATTTTTTTGTGATACATATATTATCAATGATTGGTGTAAATAACCCACATGTCATGTCGAATATATATATTTATAAAATATAGATTATGTATGATGCTAGAGATGGTGAGGAAGCGGGGACCAAAACTAGAAGAAACAACATAGCTCTAATTGCCTAGTTTTGAAATGTTTTTGAATTCCACATGTGGGGGTCCAAGACAAGATAATGTCAAATTCTATTCATGATTTTTTATATTATTATTATTAAAATTTATGGTAGTCTAGTGTGAGTCGTACTAAAAATCGGGTTATAATTTTATGTAAAGAGAATACTATATATTGAATCAGAAAAGAAAGAAAAAAAAAAGGATGTGGAGACAGAAATAGATCTGAGTAAGAAGAAACATGCAACGAATTAAAAAGAACTCACATGCCTTCTCTATCTCTTCTTCCATTTCCAAGTGGTCCTCAAATCTTCTTCCATGTTTGGATTCCTATTGCCTTTACCCTAATGTAGATCCTATTCAGTATTGCAACGTTTCTTTTTTTTTTTTTTTTTTTTTTTGAACTAGGACGTTTCTTTGTTCTATGTCTCGTTTTTTTTTAATTAGATCGAATCGAAAGTGTGTATTTTCGAGATATAGTACGCACGCACGCTGTCAAAAAACAAAAGATACACACACGCACATAGTACTATAGTAGAAAGCAACATCACCGCTTTTAAATCATACAGTTTAATTATGGAAATGATGTATAATCTTAAAAGAACTTATTCAAGCAATTTTTTGAACTTATTCAAACAGTACTTGCTATTCAATCACGAATTATATTTATAAAATGAATCGTAGTCCACGTAATTAATTAATACGATAAATTAAGTCATAAGGCCCCATCAATGGACCTTTTGTATATAGTTAAACCAAAAATTAAATGTAAATAATGTACAAACTAGTTAACGTGCCATGGAGATGATGAATACAAACTCATTTCAATATACATCAAAACCCTAAATCATATGGAAATGATAGAAAGAAAAAATTTCTTCAAATTATGGCAAAAATTTATAGGCATCTTATCTTCTGTTTAAGGACGTATTTTATATAATTTGAAATTTTGAACCCTTTTTCCGCTAATTGTTCATTTGAGATAAATTTTCGAGAATACATGATTATATATATAGCATAAATTATCTCTATCAAACGGAAATTTGAATTCGAAACAAATATTTCATACTTTTGCAAGAAAATCCTCTCCACACCAAGTAATGGATCAAAACAGCAAGATTATACCAATCAATAGATTCAAGATATATATAGATTCCTAGTAATTGCTGAGAGGAAAGAAAAAAATCAGTATAGATATGTAATTTAACCAATGAAGTTAAGTAACCATATGTATTATCTCTATGTAAACGCACAAATATATGTGAAAGCAAGGAAGCAAAGCATGAAATCGAATGAATTTAATTGTGATACATAATTCAAGCCAAATTGAATTCGGGATTTAAAAACAACATAAAAATATAAATTTAAGAACCTGTGAATTGATATCAATGTGAAAAGCTCAAGTGGGTCATGAAAATGAAATGTCACGGTGGATTGTGCCCTAGTCGAAGTTCAAGATCAGGCTCATCCACTGACGCTCCTGTCGTCTCTTTCACCGAGCCAATGCTCTCTTCATCTCCTGTTGAATATTCTATAAGCCGAGGAGGAACCTCTACCGGAGAACTCATCACCGAAAACGCAAGGTTGCTGGAAGGAAACGACGTCGGACCATAGATATTCACCATATCACTGGAATTACCAAACATGCCATTAGGGTTTTGCAATTGGTAGAAATGGGACAAACCTTCAATGTTGCTCGCCGTGGATTGGATTATAAGCGTCGTCGGCGGAACACAAGAATTGAGTAACGTCGTGCCACCCCCTCTGCCGCCGCCTCTAGCGGCAGCGGTGGGACCTTGATGAGCCCTAGATGAGGCCCGGTCGCGGCGGTGGACATTCATGTGACCGCCTAAGGCTTGAGCAGAACGGAACTCACGGCGGCAGAAATTGCAAGTGTAAGATCTTGGAGGCCAAGTGGTACCAGAGATATTGCCTTTAGTGTCTTGCTCGAAGGCTTTGACTTCCCAAGATTCATCATCATCCTCCATTAATTCTTCAGCTTTGTTAGGGTTCCACATCCATGCACAACCGTTCATTCAAGGATGAGTTTTTATAAAAGGGAAATCTCAGTAGAGAAGATGAAGAAAAAGAAGAAGATGGGGTTGATGGATAATGATGTAAATAATAAATATAGAGATGGACCCGGAATATATGTAGATATGTCATTTATCTTCAAATTTTCATTTTCAGTAAACGAACAAAAAAAAATTAGAACCATTTGAAATTTTTACTAAGATATGAGATTGAAACTTTTGATTATCACTTTTAAATTTCAAATTTTGCAACATAAATGTTACCTTTTATTAATTCATTGCAGACATACTCTTTCGCTTGTAATATTAAAAAAACAAAGTCTGGTTTTCTGATAGTTACATTTTATTTATCTACTTTCGCAAATTTACATTACAAATTTAGATCATGACTTTTTACTACCCTATATGTGCTTTTAGATGTGTACATCTTTATTGCCGGTTTGCCGTTTTGTAATTAAAAGACGTTAAGTACCATATTGCTGTGCATTTAACATAGGAAACCCAATTGCAAGAAAACAAACAAGTGTAGATTATATATATAAATAGGTGAAGATCTAAAGAGAAAAAAAGTTGGTTGTGAATTGTGATGACTTTGATGTCCTATGTAAGGTTAAGACAAAGTTTGTTTGCTTTAAATGGTGAGGCAAAGATCTTAGCTTTGCGTGATCACTACTAAGATTCTCTTGTTAGAATCTGACAAATGACTTGTGTAGCTTTACACTGTCACATTTATCACCATATATTTTAGATAATTATCCTACATATGGTGACCTACATTTCGAGATATGCATTATAAAACTATCTACATATTACACATGTATGGTGTATAGGAATTTAATATAATTACAAATATATTTTCTTATGCCAAAAGGAAGACTTTATGCAACTTCAAATCAAGGAACTTAAAAAAGAAAAAAAAAATATAATAAACAGAAGAGCTGAAAGTGATGGGCCTTGATGTCCGAAAGATATTTGCCATTTAAAGTTATTACATTGTTATCGTTAGGAATTTAGTTAGATTTCAACTATAGATCACTCTTTCTTAGTTTCTTTGGACCATATGGATCGCATTTCTTTTGTCAACTTCTTCAATTTTCTAAAATTTATAAATAAATAAAAGCTTCTTATTTTCCCTTGGAAGAAAATACAATTTATGAGAAATGTCGGCCCAAATAAATGTCATTGTGGATCCCTGCGTTTGCTTTAAATGGGCCTTTAGACATGTAGTTTAGTAGTCCTTCTAACAATGTTTGAAGAACCATTTGTTAAAGTAAAGCCTTAATTTTTTATTTTGTTAACATTGCCAGATACTTTAATTTAACATATTGTTTTCCTGAAACTACTTCCTTTTGTAATTTACTACTCAGTGGGTAAATCAGTTTCGTAAAGTAATTTCACAAGGAAACAGTTATAATCGTCAATGATAAAAAGTATTTTATATGAATTCTAATATAATATAGAGATTCAGCAGCTGCTCAAAACATTTTTTCGTAACTTGAAATATAATCCTCAAGTGCTGACAATGACATTATATGTTAAGAAATTCACGTAGGCCACAGTCATTTGAATATCATCATAAATGTAAAATATTTTCCGACTATACCCAACAAAAAAATCAGACGAACGGTCTACAGGTTGTAGAAAACTTCCATAATTTGTACCTTGGATTTAAACGAATGTGCCAACAATGTTCGTACATATATACGTGTATATATGTATTTGTTTTTTTCTTTTCTTTTTTTTTTTCTGATTTGAAGATGAGAGAATAAAGGAAAGATAGATTAAGGGAGAAGCAAAGGATGACGTTTTGCCAGCGAAGCTTTTGGGAGCAAAGAGAATCCTTTCGCAGCTATCAAACGACCGCTTCTCCCGGACGATGACTTTCCTTTGGCCGCCCATCACATCTTGAACATTCATGTTTTCTATATTTGTTTATTTGTATATATAACATGTACAGCTATATCATATATGTGACGAAAAGGAAAAATCTAATGTTACGTAGTATATAAGGTGTTTATAAGATATTTAATTCGAAATGAAACGCGTTATTAAATTAACATGATGATTTCATGTTTTATATGATGATATTCGGTTAATTTTGTATTTCATTTTCCAAGCTATTGGCTTTTTTTACTAACTAATTAATAAGTCCTTTTATCATTTCGCTTTCTGTGAAACAAAATATTGGAGTTTATATTGCTAAGACTTATTCCGTTCATTAGCGCACTTATCATAATTATAAACAATGACTTGGTGCGTTTCTAACATATTTAAGATTAGCTCAAATGATCACATGGAGTCATGGGGGCATTCATAGATGTTTGAGCTGCGGGAATCGCACGTGCCCACATGGCAAGTTCTGACTCTAATTGGCTAGATTTGTACACGTGGCGTTTTCAGAGTGATCGAAGCTTTTGAAAGCACGTGATGCGTGTTCGTATTGCCTATCTATCTAATCCCTTGCCTTCGTGTCCGTACTCCCCAGGTAAAATATATAAGCACACGGACACTGATTTTATTTCTTATTTTCGATTGCTAGCTTATTTTAACAAATTGTTCCAAAATCTAAAAGAGTAAAAAAATAACGTAACAAAACTGAAAAGACTACGAATCTATATATGTATTGGACAATATAAAATTAAAAACACTAGTGTAGCTGTAGCATAAAATGTGCCCCAAAGTTTACTTTACTTGCTTTATTAGTTTTACAATTTCAATTTTAAAAATGAAATTTACATTTTTTTTGTTTTCATGGTTGTTTACCGCATTTTTAAGTTTCATGGTAACGGTCAAATATCCAGTATTTACTAACTAAATGTAATATATCATACTATCATAGTGATATAAACAAATATAAACCCTTTCGCAGAAAGAAAGAAAGATATAAACAATATATAATATATATAAATATATTAAAGAAAAAACAAACATATGTAATGTAATGTCACCTCCGAAAAAATTATCAAATAGTGATTAATGAACGATCTCTATAGTATAAAGAAAAAGGTGTCATATATTATATGTAAAATATAATCAATATCCTTCATTAGTGGGATCTGATTATATATCATTTTGCACTGATTTTTTTGTTAGATTTTGAATCCTTTTAGTAATGGAAGAGGAAAATATAAGTACCATGGTTGCTATCTAATTTTTATGTTAGAATTTCTTTATTCGTATTCTTATTTTCCGATTTATAAAACTATTCTTGAACCCTTTATATATTCTATAATCTTTTCGAATATAACAGTTAGTATTCACTGGAGCAGTGTGAAGTGCCTCATAGCTTATTATACCTCTTCAGTTTATTGACGAGAAGCTAAATATCGTACACCGGTACACGAAATGTCTTAGGACTCGAGTATTGTATCTCTTTTCATCTGATTTACCTTATACTAAATTATTTATGTACTTTCTTCATAAGTATATATGACTGCTTAGGAAAGTGTTTTCTAGCATGTGAATATTGGACCATTAAGAATTACTTTTATATACAGTTACTTTATACATATAGTAATGTTTGTCAACTACTAATATATGAAATCTTTCTTTGTTGATAGATCATCCATTCTATAATTCTTAGTTACGTTATTCTCTAATTAATAATAGGGTGGATATTTTATGAAATACTATATTACTATTAATATGTGGGTGTGTGCATAAGAAAGCCATGTAAATTTATGTATATGTCTAAACTTATAAGGAAAGTGTTCATTGCATAATGATTGCATAGTAAAAACATTATCCTAGTCTCGTGGAAAATTTTATCGCACCAACCTATCTCAATCAAAAAATGGTAAAAAGGTACGTTTATAATATTACGTAAAGAAAGTATCAATATAAAAATGCATCTATTATTTTTGTATTAGTATTTCTAACTTCATATGGTTAAAACATTCTTCATCTTATATAATGTCTCACTTTTACGGGATTTGACACTATTAATCGTTGTATTATATATTCATTATGCTATTTAATTACAGTGTTGTGCACTACATAAATAATGAGAAAATGAGAAATCATGATCGTGTCTACCTATTATGGCCGTAATACATTTTCAATCATGTTTATGCTCTTGAATGTTAAATTAGCAAAATGAATTTTAGGTCTGATGGATAATAAAATGATAAAGTTGGGAAAAATAGAAATAAAGAAAATAATAGTATCATCTATGACTTAATTACTTATCATATATAATCAATTTAATCAAATAATCCACTACATAGTAAAACTACCGTTGACAAAAACATAATTATAAAATGCGTATATATGTAAGTTCGTACTTGTAAGGTTGTTATGCGATGACCGTCTTTTTCTTTGTTTTTTTTGGCTTGATTAGTGATACAAAACTAGTAACTTTTTTGTTTGCAAGCAATTAGATATCACATTATAATTGGAAAATGTAAAAGATGATTGTACTTTAAAGACGGTGGCACGTTAAATACTACTTAAAATAATATAATTGTAAATTATTACAACATATTATAAAAATATAAAAATAGAAAATAAATTATTTATTTACTTACACATTAATAAATTTTAATATTAAAAGAAATATATATTATCTTAAAGTAATAACGATAAGAAAATTACAATACAAAATCTATGTTTGGTACTATCAATCTCGTAGTCTTTCTCTCTGGGTCTTTGCGGTATAATTAAACCAAAATGATACAGATGGGCGGTACAATGTTACCCCCATTTTTCTTAATGAACCAATGTTACCCCCATTTTTCTCAATTCATTAATTACTATCAATGAAGGTTTTACTTTTGTCCGATTAGCGATTTGCTAGCCATTTCGCAATCACAACTTATCATATTACTTCATAGATTCTGCATATTCTTTATCTGTACCACATGTGTATCACCTTAACTAACTCAAATATAATTAAATCAAATCATTACAAAAATATACTATCTTGTATCACCTTATTTCTTAAAAAAAAAAAATCGAAATGTTAAAAATCATTTTTGAGTTAGTTAAGGGGACTAAAAAAGGTA